ATGCCAATGGGATCTCTGGCTGGATCTGTGTCTCTATTTCAGCGGCAGTTGTCCGAATCCTTAGTGATGTTTCTCTGGTTGCTAACAGTTGTGCTCAGGCAGCTTACTGTAATGAAGATGAGGAGCAGGAAGGGACTGGAGGTGAACTCTAGTGAGTGGGACCCCTGAGGCTAATGATCAGGCTCAGCGCTTCCTGAGGTCATAGTTGGTGTTTCATTGGAACACAAGGATGGAGGAAGAAGTCTTCATTCCAATAGCCAGAAGCCCGTGTTCTTTCACACTGGCCTTTCCCTAGCCAAAGCCAGCTGTCTGAAGAGGCCGACCATCGTCCCCTCAGCCACCCATGTGCTTGGCTCTGATGCAGCCACACTGGCAGGCCCAGATGTATAACCTTAAATCTTCACAGCAACTCTGACTGGCAGTTGTTACTATCTCTGTTTTTCAGATGAGGAAACTGAGAACCAGAGAGGTTAAGTAGCTTGTCGGAATGACGACCAGCAACCTAAATTATTTCATGCTTGTTATTGCTGGAGAGAGTGAAACACAGGAGTCCAATGAGATGGTTTGAAGCCAGGCTTTGCCATTAATAGCTGTGAGACCTTGGGCAAGTTACTTAATCCTGTCTTGATTTTCTAATCTTTAAAATGGGAGCAAAGCTTACTCAGAATTCTTACAAGGACAAAATGAGAGACTGCACATAATGTACTGGGATTAATACAAAGTCAGCATGCATTGAATCTCGGTTGTGAATATTCTGATGTTGCCTCTGACAGGGTCCGTGGAAGGACTCTGCCTGTCTAGTGTCTCTGAGCCACTCTGACCCATATCCCTGCCAGCTGGCCTGGCTGAGGTGGGACCAGATGGTGGTTTTAAATGTCTACTTTAAGAGTTTTTGCAAAGATTACATGAAACAATATATGTAAGGTTTCTGGTACATAGCGGCTATTCTATGCCTGTGAGATTTTTCCCTCTCTTGCTCTCAGCTGCTTCCCTTTGGTACTTGCATTGCTCTCAGGCCTCTTACAGAGTCAGATCTGTGCTGGATATTCTTGTAATCTAAGAAGGGGACTTGTGAGGACCAGGGAAGTGCTTAAGACTAAAAAAATGTGTTTCAGATGGAGGAAGTTCAGGCCTCTTTTACAAGAAGATGATTTTGGATATGTTTAAGAGTGAAGATGGGGTGGATTTTGTGGGGGATGGGCTTGCAGGGCCAAGGATGGCTCATGCAGAATTCCCATCTCCTGAACTCATTCCAGACACAGGAAAATGGGTCAAAGCATCCATTTTTTTTTGTTTCTTCCTCTCCCTTATGAAAACATGCACCTTATTACCCCAATTAAAATCATCCAATCAGTTGCTGTTTATAATTTATTTTGGTCAAGTGTGTATACTGTGTTGTTGTAAAGTTAGCAAGTCTTCAGCTTTTTATTGGGCTTGTTAAAATAATGAGGAGCAGATGAAGAGGTGACTGTCGTGGGTGGCTCCCACACACTCCTTTGATCTCCTGGTGCTTTGCTTGGTGGCCGCAGCGCAGCCTCCGTATCTTTCCTCCCTTCAGTTTACAGCTGAAAAATTGACAGAGCGCATTCTTGCCTTGTAAGCCCAGGGCTTTCAGGTCTCATGAACCAGTTAATTTGGGGAGAACGTTCTGAGTGTTTCTGGTGAAGCGGTGGTGCTGCGAGCCCGGGGTGGGGGGGGGGGTCCAACTTTGTCTTTAGCTCTTTGAGAGGTTCTGTTACCCAGCAGAGGGGCAGTGCTGGCGGGCGGCAGGAGGAACATGTCTGGGTCTCATCTTCTTGGGTTTGATCAGTCGTCTTTTAGAAAGGTTTCTTGACAAAAGAGCCTCCCTCACGGTGTCAGGGAAAGCAGGCTTGGCATTCCATTTTATGTTGAGACAATGCAAAACAAAATCCCTCCCTGATGACTGCCTGATAAAGGAATAAATTGTCTGTACAAGGTGATGGGTTTGCTAGGTCATTCTCGCCAGCGCACCAGAAACACCTTCTATTAAGAACAAAATGAGGACAAATTTGTTATGCACCTTTTGTTATTTTTAGATTGCATTGACTTTTTTTTCCACGTTGGAGCCTATTATCCTGAACTTCCTAATAAACAGGAGTGACTTAGAAAACGTTTCATTGTGTTGACCTTTACTTAATTTTCTATGCAAGTGAAAAAAAACTGATTACAGAGGACTAGTCCACACTTTAAATATCCCATGTGTATATGTTATACTTATAAATAGATGTGGGGATGACTTTTGAGTCTATTTTTATCAGCTTGTGTAAGGGTAAAGGGCTTATTTAAAAATATATATGTATCTCTATATTTATCTGTTTCTGGGAATGGGGTACAATAGTTCATTTAGGACCATTGTGGTTCTAAGAGATCATGTGGCTGCTAAAATGTTAAAACCGGTAGTGTTCTAAAAATAAGAATATTCCACTGTGGCTTGCCTTTGGTGAGAGTTCTGCGTAGGGCAATTAGACAAAAATGATATTCTGTTGTCAATTTCCTTTTTAGCATTAGACAGTGGCCGACACAGGAGCTAAAAGTGTTTGCAGGGCCAGAGAAACACCGCAAGGAGAAGCCGATGTCAGGGAGCAGCACCTTTTAATGTTTGGGGATTTTTCTTTTAATTTTCTTCAAACGTTCTAACTGTAGGAGGGTGGGTAACGCAGCTGTTCTTTGTAGCTTCTCTTCTGGCAGGCCGACAAGAAAATCAGAGAGCTGCTGGAATCCCTGACTTGGCCCATAAATAGCGGCAAAGTGCTTGGTTTTGAAATGCCTGTGTAGCTCATTGACCGCGCACGATGGCTGGGATGCTAATGGTTTATGTGGCCTGCAGGTGACAGGAAGATTTCTGCAGGCAGGGCTTTGTTGTAAATTCAGGCTGCCGGGCCGCCTCCTACCATCAGAGGTGGTTTCCAATTGATCACAGGCTTTTTGAGTTACAGCGAGGGGCGCCAAGATGAATGATGGGTTGGCCTAACACAGCTGTTGCTCCCGTCGTATGGAATTCCAGAGGATGCATAAAAAGAGATGGTGCCAGGGAGATGTGGGAATCAGAAACAAGGTCCGACCTATGTAACAGAGTAGGGACTTTTGTGATGACGCTGTAAGAAGTGTTTAGAACTCTTAAGTTACTGTTCCAGAACAGAAGTGGACTTGGGGCTAATTCATCCAGTGTGTATTGATCTTCCTTATTATGATTATTTATTATTAAAGCAATTATGTCTTGTTCCTACAAGGGACTGTAGTTCCACAGTGTGCTCTTATCTGTCATCTCATTTTATCCTCATACCAAGTGGCAGATATTTATAGAGGCGGTGGCGTTCTTTTCGGGGGAGCCACCCGGCCCCTTTGGCAGTACTGTTGTGTGCCTGGCGCTGTTGAAAGTTAATTAAAAAGACACATTCTCTGCCCACTAGGCACTTCTAGGCAAAAGAGACAAGAAAACCACAAATGCTAAATATGTAATAACTGTTCTCCAGAAGGCCCTCTACAAATAAGAAAAAAAAGAAAAAAAAAAAGGTGAAAAGGTTTTTCTTTTGCTCTACTTCTCATCTTTGTGGACTTGTTCCTAGAGAAATAATGTTGATAAACAACATCATCCCAGGACATTAATTGCACTTGGCCCTGTCCAGGCAGCTCCTCGCGTGGATTCCCTCCCTGAATGCTCACAGCAGCTGGACAGCACTGGTCTTGCTATTAGGTCCTGTTTCACCAAAGAAGAAACCACAGCACAGTGTGAGACCGACGTCACACAGCTGGTAAAGGCCTTGGCAGAGCTTGAATCGAGGCCATTTAGTCTTGAAAAAGTATCAAGCGCTCTTTCATGGGGGTGTTATTAGTTTATGGTTCCAGAAAGCTTTCTGGAATTCCCCTGCTCAGTAGAGGTAAGTATTTATTTCAGAAGAATCTAAAACAACTTCTTTCTGTTGATAATTTACCATCTTCACTGTGTAGTCATTTTTTTTAAAATGTTGTAAAATCCAGAAGAGAAGCCAGTTGCAAATTCAGCCCAGTTCTGAGGCTGGCTCCCCCAAAGCCACTCAGAACTTTGTTCCAAAGCCTGAGGCAGAATCTTTTAACCTGAGAAGCGCAGGCTGTCATGTTGGGAAGAGGTGCAAAGAGGAGGTCTGAGTTTGAGACTAGTGACTTCACAAAATCCCGTCTGGGCCTTTTGTTTCATCCTTTGTAAAATTGAGACCATCCACTCGTCTTGCCTGTTTCGTTATGTACCCGGACCTGCCAAGTTACTCTTGCTTCTGAGCCTTTGCATGTGCTGTTCCTTCTGCCAGGAGTGCCCTTCCCATGACTGGCTGTCCTTCCTCAGACTCACACGTCAGCTTTCAGAAAAGTCTTCCTTGACCACAGTTCTGAAGGGGCAGCCCTCTCCTCCTGAATTTCTCGTGCATTTTCTTTCATATTTTTATTGTACCCTATTATATTCTTAGTATACGTATTGCCTCTAGAAATGACCTTTTTATTTGCTTACTTGTTGATCATCTGTGACTGCAAATGTGGTAATGTCAGCTCCTGAAAGTAGTAATGGGACCATCTTGTTAGTGACGTAATTCCACTACCCAGAACTGTACCTGGAGTAGAAAGGGTGCTTGATAAAATATTTGTTCAAAGAAGGAGTGAGGGACTTCCCTGGAGGCCCAGTGGTTGAGACTCTCTCTTTCCCGTGCAGGGGTCATGAGTTTGATCCCTGGTTCGGGAACTAAGATCCCATATACTGTGCCGTGCAGCCAAGAAAAGAAAAGAAAAAAAAAAAAAAAAGGAATGAATGAGTTATTTATTGGAGAACTGTTTGGAATAAAGTAAAGGGAAATCCTATATAAAAGTATTGTAAATATCCAGCACAAATACAATGACATCAAAGGGACAGATGTGCTTTGAATATTTTCACGCAGCCAGGTGCTCCATCAGAGAATGTGCTCAGGTGACCGGTTTGTGTCATTTTCAGGAACTGGAAGACAAGATAATAGCTAACTCAGAATTAAAAAACCTCTTCCCTCCCACGGTCCTTATCATAGTGCTGGAAATGAGTAAATTTCTTGGGTATGCTTGTGATTGGAATTGAATAAAAATCAATGTAAAGTGAAGCCTGAAGCCTTCCTTTAGATCTTCCTGAAGACAAAGTTTCATGTCTCTGATCTTATCAGGGAGGACAATCAAAAGGAGGATGTGTTGGGTCAGTCTTTGGATAAAAGGGAACTCAAGAATAACCCATAACGATTTCCTAATACTTGGTCAGCATGAAAGTGTTCCATCATTGGTCTATGAGAATGATCTCCTTTCTGGTAATACAGGGTTCTCATTTCATCCGGAGCTGGTTAGAGAGCCTCTTAGATACATTGGCACTTGGAGTTCTATTTTAATTGGAATAATATGAATTTTGGTTGCTAACGCTCAGAATCAGAAAACCTTCAAAGTGCAGGATACACTTTCAAAAATGTTGAAATTGAGATATTTGTCTCCATATATCACATGGGCAGAATGATGTACACCCAAGATACTCCGTTTTTGCGAGTCACAGGATTTTCCTAAGCATGTCTGTCTTTGCTACCTACCCTTTACCAGAAAAATTTTTATTTAAATATTGTACCATCCCCACAAGCACTTTTATTATTTACCGATTGAAAAAAATGACATCATTACTTTTCTTCTGAATTTTTTAACGCGACAATTGTGCAATTAAATTACTGAATTCATTTATATTTAATTGTGCTTTTGGTTTTAATGTGCTATTGGACAACATTTCTTTCCAAGGCTGTTAGTTTTCCATGCAACACAGAGAATCTAAGGCTATATCAAGGAAATATATTACATGGGGCAAGACAAAGTCTCATTAGTGTTATTTATAGCATGCTGAAACCTCATTAGGGGAAGGTATGCTGGATTCAGAAATGCATTACCGGGAACGCTTTATTTTTTGTGCTGGAGAAATTACTTTTATTGTTGTTTTTTGTCACAAGCATAGTGGCTACTGGACATTTTGGTTTCTTAAAGTATGAAATAAATTAAGTTAGAAGAAAAGAGTAATTAATCCACTAGCAAGTATAGCCTTATCATATTAGCAGAATGGCCTACACATGGTTCTAAGGGATTTCTATTTACTAACGCACCTTGCCCTCACCCAACCATACATTTATAACTGGTTTCACCTCAGGTAAAAAGCAATATTTTTCAGGGCAGTAGTTTGCATCTTAAACAGTAATAATGTGCTTTTAGTGCATTTCAAATCAGAGATGAGTGAAACTTGAGGTGCAAAGTCACAAATTGCCCAATTTAGGAAGTTCTGTTTGTTCTAATGTGAGCCATATATTTAAGCCTACAGAAACTATCCAGGAGGCAGCTGGAAGACTGTGATTTGAGGCAAATGGGAACAAAAGAATGAGTCCCTGAGTTGTTAGTCTCAGGAACGAAACTCATTTGAAGTGTGGGGTTGCCTGGTGAGATGTGGAGTAAGTTGTTGCTAGATTATTGCACTTAAAATTCTGTTCCTCCCTCCAAGACCTTGCCTCACTGCAGGGTAGGATAGTGTAAATCATTTAGACCCAGCCCCTCATTTTTCTGCTCCTTTATCATTCTGGATGTAAGATTCAAAAAACCCAACGAACAGTTTCTTACTATATTAAGTATATCTACTGTTTACTCAACAGGAGAGAGAGGTGGTCTCAGGATTTCTTCACAGCAGTGTTCTACAGAATCCAGTTTCTTGCCCTCCTTCTTCTCGAATATTCTCAGTTTTTTCTTCATGGTCTCAAGGTGGAGGCCATAGCTCCAGGTATCACATCCTTACACTAAGGATGGGATTTCTATCTGTTACCCATATTACACTAAGTGTTGCAAGCAGAAAGCGACCGGCAGGGACAAAAAACAAAAATAAGTTTGTATTATTATTATCATTATTTTGTCCCATAGAGAGGACGCTCCTCCCTCAAACTCTGCAGGATTCACCTTAAGTTTCATTGGTCAAAATTGGTCCTCTTGACCCTCACTTCCCTCAAACAAATGACTAACGGGTAATAAAATTGCCAGGACTGGACTATGATATGGAGATGGACCCCTGTTCCCTAAGACAAAGGGTTCTCTCAGCAAGGAAAAAGTTGGCATATGGCTTTTGGGTAATGAATATTCAATGTTTCTTATCTGTATTGTTGGTCATAAAGCAATTTATAAAGTTTGTTTGCTTGTTAGCTTGTTTTTTTTCAGTAAATATTTCACTAGTTACATTTGTGATGTTGCTCTTTGGGTCAAGAGAGAGATTTTCTCATTTGTTCTTCTCTTCCCTTCCATTGATTCATCTATCGGCTCACCTACTGACCTACTAGACATTTGAAGAAATAGTTACTGTATACCAGGTATATATATATATATATTTTGTTTGTTTGTTTGTTTTTACCAGGTATATATTAACTGATGTATGGGACAGAGATATAAACCAGACATGGATTCTGCTCTAAAAGAAGCCCTGCTATAATTTAGAAGTTAGACACAGGCCTAATTTCTGTAACTGTAACTCAAGATAGAAAGTATAAACTGACCTGAGAGTTCAGAAGTGGGAGAACCAGGGAAGTTTTCTGGACTATGATGGGATTTCTATCTGTTACCCATATTAAATAAAATAGCCCTTTCTGCATCTTTCTCACTGGAAAAAATGTCCATGATTCTCTCGGGAGTTGTTCTTGACAGCTTCTTTTGTCCCAGCTTCCTATGGCTGCCAGTAACACATCTCGGGGTGGAGTGGTCTCTAGTTAAAAAGGAGCGGGAAGGGGCAAGAGATGGGCCTTGATGTTCTTTTGCCTCACTTGATAATGAGTGTATTTGAATTTGTGGATGAATTGGGTGGCTGGTTTTGATGAGATTTCTATTGGAATTATGTCAGCAGTGACTTCAAGTGATGCATCCAGGGAAAGATCACTACAGCAAAAACCTAGAAAAGAAATAGAAATCATCAGCCACATTAACAGTGATGAATGATCATGGCACTGATGTGGTCTTTTTTTTTTTTTTTTCCTCTTGGAAGTGGACAGCCTGTACCTGGCTACATTTCTAAGACATAATGACATAAGTAGCTTCTAGGTGTACATCTATAAGTTTCCCACCTGCCAACTTAGACTCGCAATCAGAAACCACTTAGGGCAGAGGGGCAAACTTGAGGCTTATGGGTCAGATCCAGCCTGTGATTATATTTTGTTGGATGTGCATGTTGTTTTGGGCTTCCAGCGTGGCCCAGTGGTAAAGAACTCACCTGCCAATGCAGGAGAAACAGGAGATGTAGGTTTGATCCCTGGGTCAGGAAGATCCCCTGGAGTAGGAAATGGCAACCCACTCTAGTATTCTTGCCTGGAAAATCCCATGGACAGAGGAATCTGATGGGCTATATAGTCCATGGGGTTGCAAAGAGTCGAACATGACTGGGCATCCACATGGTGTCTTAAAAATGATGAAATTTCAAAAAATAAAAATTCAGATTCTGGGCCTCTCTAAGAAATGGAAGGGTATGTAAATTCCGGGTCCACATTCCTATAGGGCAATATTTGCCTAGAACTATGAAGTTCCAACCATGTCATCTTCTGTTGTCCCCTTCTCCTCCTGCCTTCAGTCTTTCCTAGCATCAGGGTCCAGAGGATGAGATGGTTGGATGGCATCACCAACTCAATGGACATGAGTTTGAGCAAACTCCGGGAGATGGTGAAGTACAAGGAACCCTGGCGTGCTGCAGTCCATCAGGTGGCAAAGAGTCAGACATGCCTGAGCAACTGAACAACAGCAATGAGGTTCCAGCCTCTCTGAGCAGGGCATGTCCTCTTCAGTTTGCACAATGCCTCCCGTAATCTGTTGCTTTGCACTGGCTGTGCTGGGTTCACTTGTAGGTCCTGGTGGACAGTGAAACTTTGCAGTTGGCCTCTTTGAGTTAGAGACTTTAACTTAGGCAACAGAGAACAGGTACAGTGTACCTATTTAGAAATGACTGACTTTTCTTATCTTTGAGTCCTCAGAGAGAGTGCACCACTATCTTCTAAAGGTTTTATTGTTTTGTTTGTTTTGTCTAAAGTAATGAATAACTTCATATTTGAATTGCTAATAGCTCTCTTTATAATGTGCTGACATTTTAGATAGTTTTAGAAATGGAATAAAACTATTTGGGTAGAGTTAATCCAGCTAAGTGTAAATTAATACATTTCTTCAGAGTTATTTTATCCATATATATTATATACACAATATTCATATATATGTATAGCACTCATATATATATACATATAATATTCATATATTATTCATGTATGCATTATATATATGAACATTCTCTACTGGGAGGCATTTTGGAAAGCAATTAACTCTTTCAAGAACTGTCATTAAATGATCCTAAGTGGCTTGAAAGAGTTAACCCACCTTCCAATTATGCAATTTACTTCTTTGGGGCACTGCAAATTACAATCTTGGAAAATTTGGTTGAGTTATTGTGTTTGTTATTGTTGCTGTTAAATAGTAGTAATAATGGATTTATGTAGTACCTTGACACCACAGAGCTAAAAACAATTACACTTAAATATCAATTTAATTTAATGTGAAACCATGTTTTGTCTAATCATTGTAACTAATTACCAGCTTTTAGAAGCAGTTTTCGCGACATTTTTATTAACGGTCTGGTAGCAAGTAGGCTGTTTGGAAGTTTCTTCTGCTAAGTATCATGCAGTGTGAATTTATGTGTGTCAAAAATATCTTTTAAAATATATTTACTAGCTGATGTGTACATAATGTATGACCTACTGAAGATTAGAAACATCAGTGAAGTGAACATGTTTTTGAATGTCTAGAGAATGTTCATGAGGATAAGATGAAGGCTTCAAATAATGAAGTCAATATACAAAACAATGCAAAAAGAAACTTGAATCTCCCACTCTTTTTGCCAACTAGGAATCCCTATTAACAATCAATAGGTGTTCAATAAAAACCCAGAGATCAAACAGTAGTGTAACAAATCATGTTTGCAATAATCTCCCCAGGGCAATGAAAGAGGTATGATGTCAGAGTAACACCAAAGAAAGATTAAATGCCTTAAATGCTTGCTCCCTTAAGCTTCTAAAACAACAAATGATTAAAAGTTCAAGTCAGTGAGAAATAAAATAATATTTAAATTGTTTCTGTATGATGGACTTGAAAATCAGAAGGCCTGGTTTTCAGACTTGATTCTTCGACTTTTTAACTGTAGCACTTTAAGCAAATTACTAGACATTTGTGAGTCTTTCCCCTTTTAAATGAAGATATACCTTCATGGGATGTATGCTATACATCTCAGGATTCTTGAGAAATTGAAGATACTTTCTCTGTAGAGTTTGCATAGTGCTGAACACATTGGAGATACTCAATGCATTGGTCAAGTGTTAGCTGCCTCTCTGTTTACAAGAAGAAAGGCTTTTCTCCTATACCTTGTATGTTAGGAATTTCGTAGAAATGGCCAACATTATTGTACTAAGTTTATGAAAATGATCTGGTTGTCCTACATGTGTTTCTTGCCTCATCCAAAAAATACCAACCTGGTTACCAAAATCTGGTCTTCCTTTCCTATTGATTATTTTCCTGGTGATTTGGGAGTACTTGTTGCTAGGCTAGGGAAGGGTTAGGAGCTGGGTTAGGACCTAGGGTAGATAAGGAGCTGAGGCTTTAGGTCCTGTGGTACTAAATTAAGTGATTTAGACAGGTGTTTGTTTAATATGTGCAGTTCAGGGAATATATCAATGTCCACTTGATTCAATATTCAGGTCAACCTGTTCCTGAAAGCCAAAATGTTGAGGTATTTGGAAATCAAGCAAGACATATCAAACTCTTGGGTTAAAATCTGGTGGTGGTTGTTGTTGTTGTTTTTTTTTTTTATCCCCTTGGGTCGTCGCCATACACAAAGTGGCCCATCAGTCTTCCCACCTAAGGCTAAAACATGTGGTTGAGATAGGTGTGGTAGATCAGATGACCGGGTGAGGGCACTGGCCTCTAGGCTCAGGAGCTCAAGCTTGCTGTGGTAGATAGCATAGCACCAGGTAAGCAAAGAAGTGATGTGGAGAGATGTGCAGTCTGATTGCCACCTGTGAAAAGGGTGGAGCGTTTAGAGGGCAGAGTCGGAGATTCCCACCGAGAGAAGGTTGCTGGGAGGCTCTCCTCCCTTCATGCCTCACCTCCTCTCTAGGCTCCTGGGGCTTCTTCTTTCTCCCCTTCCTCTGTGGGGATGCTACCCTCATCTGTAGCAGCTGGAGGGGAGGGCCTCTGGCTCTGTGCCACTACTTATAAGGAGGCCAACTTAGACCAGGGAATGAAGCGTCGGCAACAGGGACTCCATGTGTCTCTCATCCCTGCCTCTCCCCTTTTGCTTTTCCTTCCCTTCCCATTGATCTCATCTGTTTGGAGGCCAAGGAAAGAAAAGAAGTGTGGGCTATACCATTCCTCAGTATCTATTTTCAAGGTCGATTGTGGGGATCAATAATTGAACAGTGAGTTTTAAATATGAAGTGTCATATAAATGCTAAATAGACTTGTAATTGATGGGGACTCTAACATTTCAGATACCATAAGATGGGATGGGAATGAGTAGATATGACGGTTTATTCCATAAATATCATGATAAAGTAAAATGTTCATTTGTTCAACAAATATTTATTGAGTGCCTGACCGCCTTATAGGAGCCAAACTTTATGGTAGGTGCTAGAGATACAGAGCGAACAACCACAGAAATGACAATAAACCTCTCCACTCCTGCCCAAGGAACTTACATCCTGATGAAGAGAGATAGGCGATAGGCAAAGGAATAAGACACAGTGTCACGGAATGGTGTTAGGTGGGTGTGGTGGGTGCTATGGAGAAAAAAATAAAGCTGAGAGGGGCCTAAGAAATTGGGGAGAGGTGCAGTTTTAAATGGGGTGGACCAGAAAAGGCTACTTTGGGGCTGTCATATTTTAATAATTAATTGCTGCTAAGGAGTTTAGGTTTGCCAAATTAAAATCTATTTTGACCTAGGGTAAAGAGTATCTTTTCTGTTATGTAGATATTCTTTCTAGAAATGGCACTATGGTTGCAGATAGGGGTGTGTGTGTGTGTGTGTGTGTGTGTGTGTGTGTGTGTGATCTTTTATAGCTCGAGTCAAGATTTCTGTTTTCATCAACATTTCCAGTTTCCACTAATGCTCTATTTTTGTTCTGATTCTTCCCAGTTCTTTCAATCTTCCTTTTCCTATCTCTCTCAATACATCTCTTCTGTTTTCTAAGTTAGGTAGCCTCTTCTGCCCAAAGTCACCCCTGCAATGTGTTCCTAGAAATTCAAATTCAGAGGCTTGAGAACTCAGGGATGAGCCCCAGGAGCCAGTGGGTGTGCATGAAATTGTGTAGAGTTGTGGTCAAGAGTCCAGGTTCTGTTGTCAGCACTGAGATCTTGGGCAGGTTATTGCATCTTTCTGGGCTTCAGTTCATCATCTGCAGAGTGAGGTTAATGATTCCTTGTTCAGAGATCTGTGGTGTGAATTAAATGAGAGGACACAAGGAAACTGTACAGCACACTGCCTGACCTGCAGTTCAAAATGTTCAAGAAGTGTTGGGTGCTTACCTCTTGATTTTTTCCTCATTCTAAGTTTTGGAAGATAATTAATATAGATTTTTATTTTAAAGCCAGGGTGGATCATGGAAATCATCTGGTTTAATGGTTCTCAAATTATTATTATTTTGAAATCAATAGAGGGAACCTTATTTTTTCCAAATAACATCTGGCATGGAACCTCCATAAAGAAGATAAATGGGATGAAACTTGTTGAAATGAGAGCACAAAATCTGGATCCTGCCTACTCAGCCTGGGCCACTTGAGGCCTCAACCTTCCCTTCTTTCCCCAAGAGGGGCTGTAAAGCATTTCTGAGAAGCACTAGGGTTTCTTGGGTCTTTTAGACCAGACAATGCCATTTATCAAAAGGATGCTCACTGTAATCTTCCCTTGAATGCTCTGCATCCTTAAATATTCTCAATCAGTCAATCTTGCCTCCTTTCTAGAAGAATTTCAGGTGGGACTGACACTTTGGATTTCTCACCTACCTACTCCATCTAGTTCCCTTTTTGTGTTCTATGGAATTTTTTCCTTTCCAAGGTCACCAGGCTACCTACTTGGCAAACCTAATAGATTTTTCATCCTGTTCTAGCTCTATGCAGAATCTGCTATTGACCTCATCCTTTCTGAAACTTCATGACCCCGGGGCTTCCTGGATCCTTCAGTAAGGGTCTGAGGCATCTCAACAATGGTTCTTGAATGATAGCTTTGATAATGTCACTCCCTTTCTCACAAGTTCTTCATGGCTCCCTTTGCCTGTAGAATCCAGTACACAATCTGCAACCAGTATTCAAGGCCTTTTATGATCATCTGATAGAAGCTTCTTTATTAAACCTCACTTCCCTTTTTAAACCTGGATTATTGCTTGAACCTGCTCTGGCTTCCCAAAATGTGTTTTGAAAGTTGAGACAGTTTACTTATCCCTGATGAAGGGAAAATAAGGGTGGAGTTACGGAAGATGAGAAAAGAGAAAGGACCACTTTACCTGGACTTGGTAAGATGGGTAAGATTTAAAATGGTAGAGATGGCAAGAGCATAACAAGTGACCTGCAGTGTGTTAAGGGTAAGCACCTGGCTTTTGTCAACCCTACTAGATGGAAATTATTTGAGATCAGAGACTCACATGTTATTAGAGCCCCTGTGGTACTCGAATCACAACACTGCTCCCCATAATCCTTAACAAACAAATGCACGAAAGAAGAACTGGAAAATCAAATTTGAAGTCTAGTGAACTTAAAAGAAAATTTGCAAAAAAAAAAATTGCACATATTCATATAGTCTATTGATGAATAGAGTAAACCCTTTGAAAAATGAAAAGCAATATAGAAATGTTTTTATTATCTAATTCCCTGATGTGCTTTTTGTTTTACAAATGATGCAATTATGCTATTACAAAGGATTTATGTTCATTAATAATTGTGTCAGAGGAAGGCCAGTGTCTTGTTGAAATTATTTTGTATACCTGGACTTTTTGCCATGGCTTTTCTAAAGGATGTTATATCAGTTTTGTTTTTTTTTTTTTTTTTGCCACATGTTGCTGCATCACCAAGCACTCCAACACTTGGTGGCTTGAAACAACCAATATTTATTATTTCTCATAAGCCTATGAATTATCTCTGCACTTCTTCTGGTCTGAGGTAGGCTCAGATGGTCTCAGCTGGGCTCAATTTGTGTTTGGGTCAACTGGGGGCTGACAAGTCAGAGGATAACCTTGGCTCTGCTCTAAGTGGTCACTATCTAGCCCAAGTGTGTTCTCTTGGTGAAGGCAGAAGAAAAAGAGAGAGAGGAGAAGTATGCAAGGGCCATTAGGCTCAGATCACACACCCACCCTGTTATTTCCATCACATTCTATTGGCTAGAGTGAAAGACAAAGCAGACAAGCTTCAAGTAATGGGGGTGGGCAGTATTCTCCCCCTTTTCAGTGGAAGAAGCCGCAGAGTCATACACCAAAGGACGTGCATGCAGGGAGAGGCGGAGAGCTGGGGACATCCATCTTTGCAATCAGTCTGCCACAGGAGACCTACAAGCTTCATCAGTTTTTCTTGAGATTAAGAAGGATAAGAAGGAAGATGCACAGTACTCTAACATGAGGGACCATGAGCTTCTTTTTGCTTCATTGATACTCAAGCTGCTACTTGAAGTTGCTCAGAATATTACCACTCCATCTGCCCCTGAAGCTGATTTAATTCTTTAAAGGCTAATTCTATACTCTGTCCTTTTTATGCCCTCTTAGTATCTTATCTTCTAACACAGGAAATGATAGATCAGTTGATTTGTTGGCTTTGTGTCTCTAATGAGTAAAGAAAATAAAAGACATTGAGAAGTTCCTAGGAAGCAGATATGTAAAGCAATGAAAAGAGATAGCTTTTGGTTTGACTCTTTCTTGACTGGTTTTCCAGAGGCAAAATCTAGAAGAAGGTAGAGTGAAGTCTCAGGGGACAATTTTGGGTTTGGGGAAGATCTGATCAGGTGTGCAAAGGCATCTTGGGGGCAGGGAGTGAATAGAAGTGCTGATCTCAAGTATTGGAAGGCATGAGAAGGAAGGGACTGATCAATAACTGTTTTTCATGTGCAGAGCATAATTTGTGTCAGGCTGCTGAAATGAGTTAGTGCTTCATAGTTAATGGCTGTGAGCACATTCTTTTTTTTGCTGCACTCTCCAAAATGTTTGCCATCCACAATCCTAAAAGGCTGTGAGTGACTCAGAGCCAATGTGAGTAATGCATTGGAGCTTCGTGAGCTGGGACCTCTTCTATTCTGAAAACCTTTCCTTTGGACATCGTGTCTCTGTATTTACATCTCTGGCTTGGCTGTCTCTCAAATCATGTGGTACGCTTGCCATCTTGTTTGGACATTACTCTTCTTCAAGTTTGCTCTTTCATTGGAGGCTCTCTGGGTCCCTCCACTCAAGAAATATCATTCCCTTGCCATTCAAAGTGTAGTCCGTGGACCACTAGCATTGATATCTCCTGGGAGCTGTGATTCAGCCCTACTGCATCAGAGTCTTCATTTGAACAACATCCCCAGGGGATCTGTGGGCACACCAAAGTTTGAGAAACTCTGCATTATTTCACAGACATTGATTGTTGCCTCTGCTATTTCTGTTCCCTCAATGTTAACCTCCCCCAGACCCTTTTCCCCCTTACCTTAGCTCAGAAAATGCTCACTTCCTTTTCATTAAACTCCATACGAGAAGTGATGGTGTGATGAACTTCCATGCCATGGACTCACATAAAGGCCCATTAAAAGATTTTCCTTCCAAGGTTGCTTAGTAATTGGAAACTGGTGGCTGTGAAGTCTTCTTTATAAAGTGATATGAGCTGCAGAGTAGTCATCTGAAAATTAGTTGTTTACAAAAGCAAAGCACACATCCTCTTAACTCTTGCTATATCCTAATATTAATCAAGGCTTCCTGCCAGGACAGTGAGTGCTCTGTATGATTAGAGAAATATTAAAGTATGATCTAAGTTCAGTAGTGCCTGCCTGAGTGAGTTACACCCATTCACTGAGCCTTTTCCATGAACTGTGTGCCAAACCTGGAGCAAAGTGTTCTGTATTCATATTATGATTTAATCAGCATATCAGCCCAGTGGAGTATGATCCCCATTTTACTGATGTGAGGGTGCGGCTCAGGCAAGGGACATAATGGCCCCAAATTACACAACTGGTGAACTGCAGGATTTGAAAAAGCTCCATTCTTCAGTTCTCTGTGATTTCTCCAACCAGAACTTCCTTTCTTTGCTTCTAGAAAGATTTTTCCTCCAGGCTTACTAGACATGTGTTTTTGAGAAGAGGCGTTACAGCCAGCTAACTCCTGATTTCGTTCACACCTGGGCTCACCTGTTTAGAGCCCCACATCCCCACTCTGTCCTCACTGTCTGTTTCCAATGCTGCCTGCAGCAGGACCTCTGTTCCAGCACCTTCCAATGACATGGTAACGCTTCTCCTTTGATTGTGCTGCCCACGGTCCTCCGGAAGTTTTACCTACTCCTGGAATTACCTGGCATTTTCTCTAACAAGGACATTCCAGCCTTTGCTCCCCTCTGTCCATTTTGCCCTGCCTGGCACTGTGCCTGGCACATCACGAATAACACATATTTGTTCAGTGAATTGAATCTGAGCTGATTGCTCTCTGACAGGGACCTTGGGAGTGTCAGGACGCCGGGTGGAGGGAAGGTTGTTAGCAGAGAAGAATTTCTTTACACAGACTATTTCACACTTTTTGCCAAGGGCCGGCCCAGATTTCTCTTAAAATCCAGTTCACAAGGAACTGAAGCTTAGGCAATGATGAGCTTGGCCTCCTAGGAAGAGGAGGGCCACACCACAGCTTTTGCTCCTTAAAAATCTCGGCGAGAAGAAGAAAGAAAACATTTAAAACTTCCTCTTGGAAAGCTCTTCTGCCTTTGATTTTTCAGAATGTCTTCAAGTGATTTGGGTCTATTTTTAATACCCGTGAGACATGATGTTGTAAGGAGAGCTATATATAGGGGCCACATCCCCCTTCTTTTATTCATTGGCCTTAATCTTCCTGGGAGGAGAAGGAAATGCACATGATATTTCACCACTGAGTTGTGACGTTTGCCCTAATGGGCCCGGCTGCAAGGAAATTCATAAATACTGTGTCGGAAATAAAGATAATGAATGGATTCTTTTTGGAGAAAACGTGAAGTGGGAGATTATTTATGTTAAACCTCCCTTGTCTGCTGAAGACAGCGAGAGTGTTCCTCTTGTTTTCATCAGGGTCCTCTGGGGACAGCAGGCAGCCTGTGTTACTAGGGTGAGCTTCAGCCTCTACCATCGGAATCCAGAAGAGCCGGACACTCAGCCAAAAATAACACACGGCATCAGAGCAGTGGCTATAATTCTGGTTTATTATATACTTACCAGCTTTCTTCTTCTTCTTCTTTTTTTTTTAAGAAGGCATTAAAGTGCTTGTTGAAAGTAAACAGTGTTCTGAGTGCCTACCGGACCAGAAGGAGAGACCAGGTCTTCCGGCCACAGCCCTAAGCCCAGAGGGATCTGAGTTGGGGGGCTCTTCTGTCTTGTCTTCTTTAGGGCCTTTGCATTTCCCAGCACTGTCTGGATCCATCGTCTCCATTTGTTTTGGGTGAATCCCTACATCGTTGCTTCCCTGGTGTCTCAGTTGGTAAAGAATCCACCTGCCAAAGCAGGAGACCAGGGTTCAATCCCTGGATCTGGAAGATCCTCCAGAGAAAGAAATGGTAACCCACTCTAGTATTCTTGTCAGGGCATCTTCTAGAGCAGGGACTTGATTCAAGTCCCAGGTTTGATATATTTACTATATTTTAACAGTCATCAATGGGGCAGTCTTGGCTTAATTTGGTTTCTTTTTTTTTCTTTTAAATTGATTTATTTTTTTAATTGGAGGCTAATTATTTTACAATATTCTGGTGGCTTTCTAAATCTGTTCATGGTCTTGATTCCTGGTGTTGATCTGGGTAGGGTGGTAGCCTTTGTTTCAGAGAAGTGGCATCTATGTGAATTGTAGTACCTGTGCTGGGCTGCCCCTTGGGGAAGAGGTCTTCCCCTCATTGCTTCCTCTGCCACTCCTCAGGAAATAAGAGTGGCCCACAAACCTTCCTGAGAGATGGAACTATGGCTGGAAACATTGGAGGATTTCTTCTAATGGGGTAGAAGTCAAAAGGTCCTGATTAGCAGTCTTTCTGCCCAAGTCCGAGAAACAGTCTCTACTCATTCCCCGTACCTTCCAACAGAAGCTGCATTTTAAAATCTCTTTGCTTGTGTATGCTCCCTTCCCTCTGACTTTCAGAGAGGCAGCTCTCCAGAGGAGCATTTTTCGTTAAATGCCATTTGAAAGACTTAACATCCCTGCTGATCTCTAGTTGGCCAGCTTCTAAGGAGACCTTTGGGAAACACCTTGGGCATTCTTGAGTCAGAAGGACCCTTGTCCCCAGATTTCTCTGTTTACACAAGTTATTGACTGAAATCTAGCAGAGGAGAGTTTGCCTGTGTGGGCATCAGTGTCTTGTGGGCTCCCATGGATATTTGGATTTGGAAATGAATCTAAGAAGGTAAAAAGGATTCATAGGTCAGAGTGCCATGAAGTCTGATTGTTGGTACTGAGGTCTCTCTTCCTGTAGAAACCTTTCAGAAACTATTTCGTTTAAAAATATGATCACCAAAAACCTTAAGCCTAGGTTTTGTACTGAAGTTTGGGGCAAGGTCTCCATGTTGCTCTTCACCAAGGACATGGCAACAGGAGTGGACCTCCTGGTGGTGAGCTAGGTTGACACGGGGGTTTGGGATGGATGTATCCTGGGGCAGTGCCAGAATCCTCTCTTCTCCAGAGCTCAGATATTACTGTGACTGAGATGATTTGCTTACCTGGCTAATTCCCTTACAGGACGATGAGGGCAAGCCTCTGTGTTGCTCGCCTCTCATCTCTAATACCCAACACTGTTCCTAATGCATATTAGCATCTAGTTCATGACCTTAGAATCCATGAGTTATAAAATAATGTAAAAAGCCACTTTGCATCTGTTTAGTTATGAAGAAAGATGTTTATATTGATTTCTGTTACAAGACTGGATTTATCTCTGATGCCACTATAGAACTAAGAAAAACATTTAGATTTGAATTCTGATATTTGGTCTGTCTGTAAATTTACGGTTTATTTGATGCTTCTAAGAGGCACATTTGATATCTAAAATGAATTAACTGACTTATAGAATTTTTCTCCCTAACCCTATCCCTCTAAAACCTGAAAGTATTAATCAGATGTACGCTCTGTTTCATGGTTGCTAGGTTAACACGTGCTCTACATCTGCAAATTAAAGTTTATTTGTTGTGAAACCTTAAAAAATTATGGCTGTTTAGACATAAGCTTGAAAGTATGAATTTAGCTCTTATTTTGTAGTTCCTGTCATAATGCTTTTCTGGGGAAAAAAAAAAGAATAACATGCTTGTCACAAGTGGCCTTACTCTAAATTGCATTGTCTTTTGGGGGGTTTTAAGCCAGATCCTTGATGTTACTTTAACTAGGTTTTCCTGGTTTAATTTATTTTAGTTGGTAAAGATTATTCATCACTCATTTAATTCCAAGTTTATCTATTGATTCTTTTCTCTTCATTTGGTATTTTCTGACATTTTGTGGCACTCCATATTGATTTGTACAAAATCAGTCATCTAAATGTCCAGAGGAGGCGTCATTCACTTGTCATCAGCTGTTTTTCTGAGCTAATAAGTGGAATAGTCATGTATGTTGAGATTGTTGGGTGATTTAAGGGTGGGAGTCCTGCCTGTGACACCTGGTTATAAAAATCTTTAGTGAATCTGGAACATGCAGTTCTCCAGAGGTAGCTCTAGTCAGTTTCTTCGTAAGGGGCTCAATCCTTCCCTGTAACATCCATCAGTTATTCTGTTTCTTAGTGACCCTAAATCTATGCTCTAACTTAAGAAAAAATAAATAAACAAAGCTTGCTATGCAGATTGATTCAAGATAAGCCTCTTTTTGCTTCCTAAATTTAATGAATCAGCTTTGATAAAATGTAGATAGAGTCTGTCCATCTGGAGTGGGGCCTGAGAGTCCGCATTTTCAACAAGCTCCTAGGTGATTCTGGTCTGTACACTTTGAGTAACCAGTCCTTAGTCCACTTACTAACCAAAATTCCCATTCTTATTTCTTCCTATTTTGAAGTTCTTGAACTGTATCTGAAGTTCGCCTAGCATTAGAATGTTAGTATTAGGAGTAAGTGAAGAGGGAAGAGGTGTGCCCCCACTCCCCTTCTCCCACCAGCTTACATTTTATAAAGGCAATGAGAAGCTAGGTGTATGTTACAAATCTGTAACCCAACTGGATAGTTTTTAATAATCCTCACAGAATCTGGTAGCTAGTAAAGTCAATTTTCATGAGACTTTGAATGTATATTTCTTAAAGTTACTCACTTCCTCTGTTTTAAGCCTTTTTCTTCAAGTTCCTCTGTGCACTCCGCATCCGCAACCCTCACCCCATTGTGATTTCTTGCCTGGTTGCAAAGAGTGTTACTCTCTAAGCTGAACTGAAAAGCGACTTGTGATAAAGCGTTAGGAGATAAAGCTTTAGGTGACCCTCTCCTAGGAATATGTGTAATTTCATAGACAATGACATAAAAGATTTTAAAATCAAGAGATATGTTTTGTGAAAATTTAACTCCAAGGTAGTCTACGGGAGGACCCTTTTTGGGGGGGATGAAGAGGAAGAGGAAATGATATTTCCAGCCTACCATATAGCCTATTTCTCATTCGTTCATCCTACTCGTAAGATCTGCCTTCCCACTCTACTCATGAGTCCATTGGTTATTACTTCTG